CCCCAAAACCCCAAAACCCCAAAACCCCAAAACCCCAAAACCCCAAAACCCCAAAACCCCTTTGAATATCTTCATATTGAAAACCACTTTTACTCTAAAAGCATCTGAATACTATCATGAGTGCTCTTCACTGTCCTGTGAAGATACTTTGAAAGCAGAATCCTTGAGTTAATGATCTTTGGATCAACCAGCATGTAGTTTCTGACATAAAGCTTGTCTTCTCTGGCAGTGCCAAGGATGGTCAGACTCAAAAGAGTCTCACAACGAGTGATTCTCTCCTCAGCAGGATATTCCTGCGAAGGGACAGACGACACGAATATTACTATCACAGGCTGCTCATCTTCATCCAAAGTTTCTAGTATGATTTGCTTCTCAACAAAGTCTCTCTGAGTGACCTCATAGTCTATCTTAGAGTACTCTGTTTGCACGATTATCCCATTTTGGCAAAACTTGTCAAGAATCTTTACGTACTTTAGATATGGTTTCCACTTCAAAGCTTGCTCATAATCTGTAAGAATATCTTTCAGTTTTCCATAATTATGCAGTCCCTCAAAGGTCATTTCAGAGTAGATTAAAGGATGCTTGAAGCTTAGAATTGGGCCATTGACAGTAGTCCATACACTATACTCCTCTTCATCAACATGTTGGTCCCAGTCTTCATCCTTTTCTGTACTCTCAAATTTTTTCCAAAGATCATAGATATAGTCTATGTTGAATTCAGATCCAGCTTCATACGTATTTTTGTATCGAGAGTCAAGGTCTGGTACATCTTCAAATTTGGGAGCCTCATCAAGCTTCATATTGTACATCTCAGAAAACCTAATGCCTTTCCTTTGAGTATTATTTTCAGAGCTCTCAACTGCATTACTCTCTGAGATATATGCATGCACTGTACGTCTTCCTTCCCCTCCTTCCTCTTGAGGATTGTTAAATGAGAATTCAGTGGATACAGAGATAGGTTTATGCACTGAATTCCTTGCATAAACTTTTTTACTTAAGGATTTAACTTCCTTTTCCTCTTTTTCTTCCTTTTCTTCTTCCTCTTCTCCTTCCTTTTCTCCTTCCTCTTCTCTTTCCTCTTTCTTTTCCTTTTCCTCTTCTCTTTCTTCTTCCCTTTCTTTTTCTTCTTCTTCTTCCTCATCCTCTTCTTCATCTTTTGCTACATTTTGGTCGATGGCCTCATCTTCAGTAAACTTCGGAGCATTTTCTGCAACATTTTTCTTCTTATTGAAAGACCCAATGCCAAGCCCAGAGGCTGATTCTGAGCTGAAGCTCATTCCTCTCATTTGGGAGACTTCTTTCTTCTCATTAGTCTCTTCAATCGTATACAGATTCACTGAGTTATTTACTCATAGTGTTTCTTACTCTATCTGATCCCAGGTTATTTTGGAAATGTTCGCAATGAGTTAAGGCAACAAGAGGGAGCGAAAAGCAGGTAGAAAATGACTGAAGAACTTACTCTCAATATCTTGGTCTCTTTGATGATTGCCTAATCCTTTCCTATCCTCTTTCGTAGGAACGCATCAAGATTGCCCCATTTTTATTTAACTCACTTTCTGATACGCGGGGTTTTGGGGTTTTGGGGTTTTGGGGTTTTGGGGTTTTGGGGTTTTGGGG